GACAAGAAGTTGATGGGTGGAAAATGTGTAGTAAGGGATGCAGAACTGGAGTCTCACTCTTATTTTTGTCAAGTAGCAGGATGGCCTTGGCAAGTCCCTTTGCCGCTTTATGTTTTATTTTCCCTCACTGTGGAAATCATTCATTTAGGTGTCAATCATCTGGAGCTGTGCTAGCCAGTGCATGGATTTTCACCAATCATTTATTTCAAGTTTTATAATTATAAATTATTTAAAGTAAGAAAGCATCTATTATTTAATTGTTTAATTAACCATTGTCACCAGCTCTAGTCCCAGTGCTCAGTTCTCACATTTTACTATTGTTCCTGTGTTGGGTGGTATGCATACACAGCATGTCCATCATTGCAGAAATTTCTCTCAATGCCAGTTCTGGCACTTACCACCTGAGGTCTGGTTCTCAGAGGAGCAGTGTTTAGAGTGCCAAATCTCAGGTGCTGCACTGGACCTTGTGGAATAAAAATCTGTATTTTTCCATAAGATTCTCTTGCTGAATACAAGTGCTCGTCTAAACAGCTCTGATCTATGATTCCCTCCAGCTCTGAAAATAAAATGTAAGAATCATGGTATCTGCTTGACAGAGCCTCTGGGAAAGAAGCAAGCAAGTTGCTTGTCAAATTCAGATTCACAACCATTCTGAAAGGAAAGAATTAGGGCTATCTGAAGACGGATCAACAGAGTGGCTGGACCCTCACAGGAGCAGAGATCAGCTAAGGCTTCTGTCACCATCCAAAACATCCCAGAGCTGAGTGGATGGTACAACCCAGCATTGTTGCTCAGCCTCCTATGAACTTGAACATCCAGTCTTTGCCTAAAGATCAGAAAATGGAAATTCTCAATTTTCTATGGCAACAAATAATCAACTAGAAGTGGGTTGCGCTAACAGGATACATTATTTCCAGGAAATGTCAGGGTGTTTGGAATGTTTCCCTCCCTAAGCTTCAGCAGGGGGCAGCAGGCAGGTCATGTTCAGATGGGGAAAGTGGTGAACTGAGCGTGAGGAAGCATCAAAGTCACAGCTAACAGCAAAGGAAGAGCAAGGTCAGGGTCAGAACTCTGCAGTGTCCTGGGCTCTACACTAAGGGAGAATCCTTTGGTCTTCTTGCTTCCCATCTTTGGGTGGGATTCTGTTTTCAGCACAAAAATGAGGAGAAAAAGGGAGGAACTGTTGCTTTTTGAGTAAACATGTTCCTTTTACAGAATAAAATTGCAGTTATAGATCTTATTTAATTGATATGTTTTAGTGTAGAATACTAAAATTTTAATGTGTCTATAAATCTGTTTCATACTTTGAGACAAATATCTGTATTAAGAACATTGTGTACAAGGAATAAAGACCAGAGAAGGGAAAAATGAGCCTATGGTCTACATTATTAATATTTCAGGAGACAAGCAAAATGGGCCCTCATAAAGAAACTTAGAAAAAAATATCTGGAGTTTCTGATTTGATTATGTACAAATCTGCTGATTGGAGACATCCTATCCTCACATGGTCAACTGTTTTGACAAAGAAGGAAAAACCAATGAACAGGTAATGGAAAGGAGTTTGTGATATTTGGACCAGTTTTGAATAGTCCCTGGCAGAAAATGTAATGTGTTTTAAGCAGGGATGAATACAGTGAGCTGGATCCTGTCCTCTAAACCAGATCTGTGAAATCTGGGCAGGGTGCAAGGGTGATAACCTACCCACATCAGAACGGTCCAGTGTGAATTCCGTTGTACCATCCATTCTGGGTTACGGCTGCAAATTTCAGTAAGAGTTCCAGTCTCCACTGTGTAAAATGCAAAGTGCTTTTGATATAAGGGATATGGATACTTATGAAAAGTGCCTTGGACATAATAAGAAATTAATGTTTATTTATGCATCAGTTAGTCAAAAATGGTTTGGAATCAAATTCTAAACCTTTGCCACTATTCTCAAAATAATGGCCAAGAAAGTGCATGGGAGCATGTCTGATGAGACACAGAACTGGCCTGCTCTGGAGCTGGGTGTTCTGCCCACTTCCTACCTGTCTGCCAATTCCTACTGCAGAGGGGCAGCTGGGCGAGTCTCAGGAGCACAGATCCATCGATGATATCTGCTTCTTTCTCCCCTGGGGGCTGTGTATGCGCAGTGCTCACCTCCACCCAACCTCATTCGGATAGGACTCAGACTTGCAGAAGGAAAGGATGATGACTCTTCATGGTCACCGTCTGAATCTCCATTCTAATTTTCTTTCCTTCTGACAAAATTGGAATATCCTCGGGGGAGAACTCTTTGTAAAAATTTTTGTTTTACTTTATTATTGTGTGTGTTTGAATGTACGTTTGATATGGGGGTGGGGCTGTGTGCCACAGCACATGAGTGGTCAAAGGGCAACTATGTGGAGTTGATTCTTCTACTTTTTTGTGGGTTCCAAAGATAGAACTGAGGTCTTCAGGCTTGCTCAGCAAGTGCCTTTACCCACTGAGCCATCTCACTGGCCCTCTCATGTGTGAGACCTTGATCTCTGTGAGGTCAGTCCATACACCAGTGACTGCCATTATGGCTTGAATATGTGCTGTTCTTCTATAAGCTCATGGTTTGAATGCTTGATCCCCAGATGTGGGAGGTTGTGAAACTTAGGAGGTGGGGCTGAGCTAGAGGAAGCAGGCTACTGTGAGAGAGTTGGTGGCCTGCTACCACTGCCCACTTTCAGTCTCATGCTCTACTTTCTGTCTGACTTAGTATAACAGTTCTCCTCTGCCATGCCTTCCTGATGTTCTCATGTTCTGCCCAAGCTCCCTGGCCTAAACAACCCTGAATTGAAGCCTCTGAAGCCATATTCTATAATAAATTCTCCTTCCCAAGTTGTTTCTGTTGGGAATTTTTGTTACAACAAAGAGAAAAGGATATAAAATTTCTTCAATGTAAGAGTTTTCTCTACATCTCTTCTGCTAGATTTCCATTCAGAATGACACCTGCAAGCTCTCTGTATTTAGGGTTAAGAAATTTACACATACACATGTTTATTGTTGACATGCCTATGTCCTTCATCGTAGCTCTGCCTTTTACAAACTCATTCATCCTGAACAAGAAAGAGAATCAGATTTTCATCTCTAGTTGCTCAATTCATGCCTTGTGGCCATCATCTGGATTCATCTTTAACACAACCATTGTAATTCACTGGTTCTAGCAGTATTAAGCTACTCCATATATCTGGCCCCACTATATTTGCATGAGAAAAGATTTATTTAAGATTGTTTAAAATTTGATCAATGTCCTCATTTAAAATTTTATACATATGGTATAATGCTCATTAAATATTTTCATGCCAACCAAGAGAGAAAAAATCCATACTTTATTTATCATTCCAAATGACCCCAAATCACTCTAAGAACATCTCAGACCTAAATATGCTTGAGTAACAGGATAGTAGCAGCCTTGTAACACCTTAGTTTTATTCAATCCAGATGTGCAAAAGAAAAAAAATATGATTAACTCAGGAACAATATTCTTAGTTTCCCTGTAAAAACCTCAGGAGAGACCTGGACTCACAAGGTAAGGGTAGCACAGGTGGAGGGAGAGGTGCAATGGCCTCAGTCCAATTCCACATTTGTGCTTGGATGCCCTTGGTCTGCTTTCTCATCTGTAAAATTAGAGCACAAGAAATAGATGACTATTAAAGAATACTCTTACATAATGCAGTTTATTGACATTGCAGCCCATCCATCAGCATAAGGTTTATTTCAACTCTTAGAGTCTATAATGCAGTACTATTGCCTTTGTAAACAAATAATTACAGCCAAGCAGACCAAGGCAGAATTTGGCAGTTAAAAAACAGCATTTATTATTTCTTGAGTGTATATCATCAGCTGGTAGGCTGGCTGGGGATGGGCTGTCTTATAGGTCTGATGATTGGGTAGCCATTGTTCCGCTGACGGAAGTAACAGGTCAGTGGTGCTCATGAACAAACCTGAAATCCAACCTGGTATACATAATGAACAGCTTTCCCCTAAGCTGGCTATGTCCTAATGTGCAGAACCTATGAATATATTGCTTGTGTGGTATAAAGGTATAAAGGACTCTGCAGATGCATTTAAGTTGAAGATCTAGAGAATGAATATTATTCTAGACTAACTGGGTGGCCCTAAAAAGTCACTGATGTCCTTTGAAAAGGAAGATCAGGGGCTGGAGAGATGGCTCTGTGGTTAAGAACACTAACTGTTCTTGCAGAAGACCCAGGTTTGAATCCCAGTAACAACTGTCTGTAACTCCAGTTCCAGGGGATCCGACGGCCTCTTCTGTCCTCCTCAGGCATTGCACGACACGGGTGCACTTACCTATATGCAGGCAATACACACATACACATAAAATAAAAATAATAAATAAAATTTTAAAAAAGAAAAAGAAAAGGGAGATCAAAGGCTCCAAGGAAGAGGTAAAGATGGAAGCAGAAGCCAGACAGAAGGGAAGATGCAAACTTGCTGGCTTTGAGGTGGAAGGAGTGTTTCCTAGCCAGGAGATGTAGGAACCTCTAGAAGCTGGCAAAGGGAAGGAACCCACTTGTCCCCTGGAGCCATTTAGACTATTGATCTCCAGAAAGAACTCAAGGAAAATAAATGTATGTTTCCTTAATCCAATGAGTTTGTAATAGTTTGTTACATGTCAAGAGGAGATAATTACATGTCAAGAGGAGATAAGCATGTTAAATTTCAAGAGGAAACCAGTACAGCACAGCAAAGGGTAGGACTAGAGCACGAAAAACAGTGTTACAGGCTCAAAACTTGCACATGGTCACTGCTGTTACATTTCATAGCAGCCGAAAGGTCAGCACAGGTCCAGAGAATGCAGAATATGCCCACCTCTTGGATTCAGTTTCTCTCACCTCTTGATGGGAGCCCCATGGGAAGGGAGTAGAGTCAGGAAAGTATAACCAGTATTATCTTTTGCAACTAGTGTACCCCCTGGATTTTAAGAACCTTCTGAACTTGGTTCCTTTTATATTTCTAGGGTCACAGGGAGCATGGGCCTCTGGACCTCAGGCACTGGTCTCTTCCTAAGGCTTTGGGGGACTTATGTATTTCCAAGAAGCACTGGCTGGACGGACTTCATCCAACATTTGGGAGTTTGCTGCTTTGTGGCTCTCCTTTCAGTGAGCCTCTTCTCAGTGGCCTTCTACTGGGCTCTGCAATCAATCACAGTGTTCTCTGCTGTCTGGATGATCACCTGTGCCCTTCTGTGCTGCTCCAAGCATGCGCGGTGTTTCACTCTTCTAGCCTTCCTCTCCTGTGGCCTGCGTGAAGGCAGGAACGCTTTGATTACAGCTAGCACAGGGGCAGTGATCTTTGGACACATAGAAAATATTCTTCATAATTTCAAAGGTCTTTTAGACAGTATAACTTGCAACCTGAGGGTGAAGAGCTTCTCCATACATTTTCCACTTTTGAAACAATATATTGAAGCCATTCAATGGATTTATGGCCTTGCCACCTCCCTGAATCTATTTGATGATCTCGTTTCTTGGAACCAGACCCTCGTGGTCTCTCTTTTCAGTCCCAATCATGCCCTAGAGGTCCAGCTGAATGACACCAAAGGAGAAGTTCTGAGTGTCCTGACCCATATGATGACCATGACAGAGCTGTTGTCTTCCCTGGGCCAGAAGCTATTGGCGCTTGTGGGGTTTCTGTTCATCTTACTTGGCACTGGCCTCTTTATGAAGCGATTTTTGGGCCCTTGTGGCAGGAAATACGAAAATGTCTATATCACCAGGCAATTTGTTCAGTTTGATGAAAAAGAGAGGTGCCAGCAGCGACCCTGTGTCCTCCCACTGAATAAGAAGGAAAGGAGGAAATACATTATCATCCCTTCTTTGCGGCTCACTCCTAAAGAAAGGAAAAACCTGGGACTGTTTCTCCTCCCCATTGTGACCCATCTGTACATCTGGGTGCTATTCGCAACTGTGGATTATCTGCTGTATCGACTCATTTCTTCAGTGAACAAACAGTTCCAAAGCTTGCCTGGGCTCGAGGTTCACTTGAAACTTCATGGAGAGGTAGGGGCTCCCAGGCACTTCCTGTAGTGTACTGTGACTCTTTTATTCATGGATCTTTTGAAAAAGCTGGAACTTCTCAAGTCAGGCATTGTCTTTGGATCCATGGTGCCTGACACACAGAAGGAGGCCAGCAGGTTTGTGTTAAATTGAGGTCCTGGTTTTAGAATATGATTCTTTTTTTTTTCATCTTTGATTTATTTATTTATTTATTTATTTTTATGGGGCTTTTGGCTACTCTAACATTCCCATTCTCTGAAGAGGTAACTCTAAAATCTTTCAAGGATTAGATACAAGCTCCCAAATACTTTCGACATTTTTGGCCTTTGGAACAGAGTATGTTGCTAAGAGGCACAAGGACACTTTGACTTTTAGCCAAGAAACTGGCTACTTTTCTTTTGGGGTCTTTTTACCCTAACTGCCTAGCCAATATTTACCTCCTATTCTTATCACACCATCCTCTGCAAAGGTTACCCAAATTGTCAATAGGGAATAGGGACGCAGACCGCTCTGGCTTCTTCCATGCTGAACAGGGAAGCAAGGTGAGGCAATTGGAGTACCCCTTCAGTGGGTCTATCTAAAAGACTCCCAAATTACATAACTCTTATCTCTAGGGGGAAAAGAAAGTTCTTGACTTCTGACTAGGAAATGTGAAGGAGAAGTAAAGGGAAGAGTAATTAGCATTATAAGTTCTAGACAGGGAACTAGAAAAAAGTCAGAACATGGCAATTTTCAAATGTTCATATGAGAGTCCATTGGAATTTCTTGACAAGGGCTTCCAAAAGCATCCTTCTATTGGGTTCCTCCTCATTTTTCTTTTGTCTTCCAAGGCACTTCCACATCACTCTAGAGTGATGGATTCAGGATTTGCTTTCAGGTATTTCGATAGCTGTTGGAGTGGTTGAAATCAGTATCACTTCTCTTTCAAAAGTTTCTAGACAGGGGGAGAAAACAAATTTATCCATCATTTTAGAACAATAGCTTGTTGTCTCCCTTAGCTACAGATGGGCACTATAATATTGGAGACCAAGATTTGAAGTCTTACATCTGAGCAGCACTTTCTGGTTAGGAACAAAATCATCAATGAGAAATAATTGTCTAAGTAACTTTTTATATAGACTTAAGCCTAATGTCTGGGAAGTGTCATCCCTTGAACTCTTAAAGAAATATACTGATGACTTTACTCTTTGATTATACTTTCCTTTTGGGTGTTTAAGACCATACAGTTGGCCCAGATAAATCAATTTATTTTTACACTTACAGTCATTTGAGGATCTGTTCCTCAGGGGTCACATGGGCTTGGGAAGAGCTCCTGGCTTCTTTCTTTTACCAGTTCCATCTACGTGAAGCTAAGTCAAAAGTCCTGCTCAACCATGTCTGGCTTCACTTGGAAGCATGAATGAGATGTTTCCTCTGAGTTGACCCTCCTCTTTGTAGACTGGACACTGGTTCAAGTCCATCTCATGGGGTCTCCATGTCCTCCCTGAAAAGAGGACAGGTGACTCACCACAGTTACAGGACATTTTGAGAGATGTTCCATAGATACCCTGGAACTTAGTCGACCTTGGAGGGCAAGGGGCAAAAATTGTCCTTTAAGACCCTCTGACCACATTAGTATAGGCCTCAAACTATGGCTGTTAAACATCCAATATGGTTAGTTTCACCAGTCTGGTACTTTTAATTAGCATGTGATATGTAGATAAGGCTTGGGTAAAAAACCAAATATTCTCAAATAAACCTTGACTAGATATATATTTTATTCCTTAAACTAGTTGACTATACTATGACCATAGAAATTTTAAGATTATGTATATATCATTTTTGTCTTATTTTTTATATATCATAACAAACATACACAGACCTTCATCACTTGCTTAGGCTTTCTCATTTTTTTCCTATTTTAGAAAATATCTCCATTCCCATATCCTTTTAACACCTTTTACATTCTCATTTTCTTTGTTTATAATAGCATTAACAAATAAATTTTCCATCTGTTGTGAGACTTCTTTTCTTGGGGATGCTAAGCAATGCTTATTCCCTTTTAAGGTTCTAGTGTCAAGCCGATGTTTGATTAAAGTTTTACTGGGGAACCAATGAATTGATTGAGCTTACTTATGGAGATAACTGAGGGGTTTCTGAGGTGTATGTATGACCTGAGGGTATGCACATAGGAAGTCCTTTACCATGCCTTCTCTTCCTAGCCTTCCCCAGATTGTCTACTTTAGTCCACCCCAAATCCAGGAGGCCATGTGTGATGAGGGCCAAATTACATTCTGTTGGCTGGGATGAGTGGCTGGATAATCTGGTGAGTATCCAATGATCCTGCTTGGCCCTCTTTTAATGAATGAGCACAACCATCAACAAGCCCAATTGTGACGATGTTTAGTGATCAGACTCAGCTGAAGTCGTGATGATGGTGGTTATTTCATGCAGAAGGGACTGCTGTATAGCTTCATCTTATTAGCTGGAATTTAAAAGGATTTGTTGCTAGGACCCACATGTGAAGGAGAACATAGGTCATTTGTTTTTCTGAGTCTGTGTTACTTCACTTAGTATAACAGTTTCTAGATCCATCCATTTACCTGCAATTTTCATTATTTCATCTTTCTTTACTGATGAATAGAACTCCATTGTGTAAATATACCACATTTTTGTTAACCACTAGTCAGTTGAGGGGCCCTTATAGAATATGATTCTATGTTAGTTTTCTATGGCTTCTATAACAAATGATCACAAGCTGGGTGTCCTCAAACAGCAGAAATGTATTCTCTTATAGTTCTGGAAGTGAGAAGTCTAAAATCAGTATTGCTGGGTTAAAGTCCAGGTGCTGTTGGTAAGGGCATATTCCTTTCAGATGGGAGGGGAGAATCCACTCTCTTTCACCCAGTTTTACTTGGCTAGTGGTGTTCTCTGGCTTGTGGTGACATCACACCCATCTCTGCTTATTCACATTACCTTCTTTGTTCATGGAAAGTCTTTGAGTCCCTCTTAAAGCATGCATATAGTCACATTAGGGCTTACCAGCACAATTTCTCCATCTCAAGATCTGTAACAATCTCAGCTGCTGAAACCTTTCTTCCAATATCTGATTTTGGTTGATTGCACTGTTATTATTATTCAAGGCTAGGCTGTGGGGATTGACTTCTTACCCCTCTCAAGATTCATGCAGACAGGCTTCAAGCTCCTTCTCTGAGGGAGGCTTCCTTTGTATGCATCCTGAGCCCTTATCAAACATCAGAAGGCCTCCACTGCAGAGTGAAATATTTAAAAGAATGCTTGCTGAAATAGTTGGCGTTAATGCCTAGTATCAGCCACTTTAACACTGCTGCTCACATATGCCTTGGGTTTTTAGGTAACTTTGGTAGGTAGTTGCCAAGCTTAGTGTGTGTGTTAAGAATTTCAGGTGGGGGGAGGGCTGGAAAGATAGCTCAGTGGTTAAGTGCACTGGCTGCTATTGCGGAGGACCTGGGTTTGAGTTCCAGCACCCACAGGGTGGCTAATGACCATCCTCAACTCCAGTTCCAGGGGATCCATTGCTCTCTTTTGACCTCCTCAGGCATTGTACACACAGGTGCACTTACATACATGCAGGCAATACACTCATACACAGAAGATAAAAGTAAATAAGATTCAAAAGAATTTCGAGGGGTGGATACACAGTTTCAGATCTCATTTCACAATATTTGTTTTGAATAAATGAGAGTGTATTCTCTCTTTCTCTCTTTAAACCAGTGAGTTTATCAGAATTACTTACAGGAGTATTTGTTAGTGGTTACGTAGGGAGCATGGATGATTTGAAGGCAGCTGCATCACTGAAAAGCCTACCTCAGCACTGGTAATGAGTCACAAAAGCTACAACCCTGAAGCTCCCTCTATTGCTCTTCAAGAGCTAGGCACTGGGAGAAGTTCTGGAAGAGAATTTGCATAAGTACTCCATATGATCTCAGAGTAGCTGGCCCATGGACCACACTCTGGGAAACTCTGGCTTAGGTGAAACCTTGGGTGAAAAGTAGCATCCTGGTGGAGCTGAACAAACAAGTAAGCAAATGCTCCTCTCTAGAGACCTCAGAGCAAACCTTCAAACTACCCCAAGTAACCCTACTATGCAGCCAAGATTGATAACCCCTGTTCCACCACCCAAAGAACAGAACCAGAAATCTAACCTCTGATAGCCACCAGACGCTTCTATGAGGAATCTTTTTTTTTTTTTAATTTTATGTGTATGAATGTATTGCTTGCATGTATCTAAGTGCACCAGTGTCATGCAATGTCCTTGGAGATCAGAAGAGGGCATCAGATCCCCTGGAACTGGAGTTGTGGACAGTTGTTAGCTGCCATGTGGGTGCTGGGAATTGTACATGGATCCTCTGCAAGAGCAGTCAGTGCTCTTAACCACTGAGCCATCTCTCCAGCCCCTTATGAAAAATCTTAATTACCCAAAGATAGTGTCTTTCTTGGGCTGGTGCTCCCTGTGTCACAGGCAGTCTGCCTTTTTCCTCTATCGTTCTCCCCTCTTGGCAGCCATAAACCAGTAGAAACAGGTCTAGGGACTTTGCAGTCTGTCCTGTCCCTTTCCTTTTCAATTTTTTTTCTTCTGGGAATGTGTAATTATGTTGACATTTGAGATCTGAACATTATCAGACACTTACCTTTTTTTAACCTTGGAAATTATGAAGTTGAACCAGATGGACTGTGTGTGTGTGTGTGCCTGTGGGATGCATGCGAGGGTTAAGT